AAAAAAAAAAAAAAAAAAAAAAATGTCCTGATCAGCCCAATCTGGATCGATGAGATCAGCACATCCCCAGCACAGTTGAAAATGAATGCTGTGTCTGTTAAACATGTGTCCTGGCAGCATGCAGTTCATGGAAAATAAACTGGGATGTGAAACAGATGATTGAGGACCACCACATGATTCATGCTAACTAACCTGTATCGTGTTTGACTGACACAAAGCCGAAGCTGCCTGCTGTGCTGTTTCCACCTGAAACTCTCTCTGGATGTCAGAGAACAATGGACCCATCACAGGTGTAGGGGGCGTGGCCTGGGGTTGTAATTGGATGGTGTGGACATGCCGGTCGGTGTCGGCTGAGGAGCAGGTGAGGCTGAAGGTGTGGGTGGAGCAGTAGGATTGTGTGACATCACAGTGCAGCTGAAAGCTGTTCAATAAAGACATAGAGGTTCCGATTAATATCAGACTTTGTCTGGTTTGGTTCCATGTTTCACCGTCTGTTTCAGCTGACTGACACTGAATCAGCTGTTACACCGACTGAGCATTAACCACGTCTCAGATGTTGAACCCAGTAACTCTGATCACCAGGACAGGTCCAAGGGTTCATTTATCCTTTAAAATACATCATAATCTACTGTCGGGCTCATGGTTCAGATTTTCATGGTTCTCAGAGGACGAATCCTCAACACCCTGGTGACATTTTTTTGGCTCCAGAAATCTCTCTGCAGGAAAACTGCTGTTCACATGTATGAACCAATGAAAGACCAACCTGTTGTCTGAGATCTCCGTCCGTCTGTCTGCCTCCTCGCTGGGGCTCGTCTGAAAACGAGCCTTCCTATTGGCTGCAGTCTTCACAGGATCCTCCTTCCCATCATGCTCGGTGGTCAGTTCGGGGGTGTGGCCTGTTTCCTTCAGCTCGTACTGGAAGCACAGAAAACATTCAGCTTCTGAAGAACATCTGATGACACCAAGTGTGCCAAGATATAAGCCTACATGTGCTGTGGGTGGTAGTCTAATAAGACGACCGTCACATGAGAAACTGGTAAAATCACCACCTGCTGGACCGAACCTGAGGTCCGCTCAGAGGCAGGTGATGAGAACAGTCCTCACCAAAGTGTCCAAAATGACTTGAATGTCAGAAATCAGTGTAATGGGGAAAGTCTTGACTCAGGAATTTCCTTTGAGATGAATAAAGTTTTACCTTATCTCAGTCAGGTGAAAATAAGAATGTAGATAGAATTTTGCATCTAATAAACAGCAGCACTGATCCTCTGGAAGCAGCTTCAGCTTGTTCATTCGTATATTCTAACTCTGCTGAACGTATGTTGTGAGGGTTAGAGAAACAACTTTGCTGTTGACATGTTTTAAGTTGAATCTCAGGGATCAAACCAGTTTGCAGCATTCAGAGCTGGTTTCAGATTCTGCTCTGATACAGTTTAGTTCTGGTTCACTTGTTCTGTTTCAGCCTCAGACTGAACAACAGTGATGATGGTGATCTGGAATCAACACTTGATGCTGCAGGAACGATCAGGGTTTGAATACACCCAGGAAATAGAATCTCAGGTTTTCCTTTTTGTGAGTCTTAAATGTGAATTTATTAGAAAATGATTCTCCTCAGAGCGAATCCTGTCCACAGATGGTTCTGGTAGGTTCTAGAGGTAAAACAGTCCTTCCATTGTCTAGAACTTGTTCTGATCAACCACCATCACACATGCTGATATAAGCCTGGAATGTTTACCCAGAATGCACTTGTTAAAGTTTCTGGATCAAGCCGCCAACCTTTGGACTAGTGGACAGCCGGCTGCCCCTCTGAAGCTAAAACTGTGCTTCAGTACATACAATAAAGTGACTGCAGATAAAGAAGCAGCTGATTCTGAGGTCAGAGGGGATTTTTATTAGATTTTATTTGACTGTATTTGGAACGGTGTCCTCTTCCATCCAGACCAGTGATCAGTGTGCTGCCTATCGACTGGATGCAGTCTGACAGCATCCAGTCTGCGTTCACTGTGAGTCTCAGTTTGAGGTTCTTGTTACCATGTCGACCTCCTGGGTTCTGCGGTTATCGCTCTGCTTCCTCTTCCTCTTGTCATCGCTGTCTCTCCTCCTCTTAGCCTCTTCCTTCTTCTCCTCGTTGTTCTGTTGTTTCACACTCTCCATCTGAAACAGGGTTTATATGAGAATAAAGTAACGGACCTCTGAGTCCGTCTGATTGGACACACAGTCCTGAGCAGCTTATGAGCAACACGTGTGTGAAATCAGAAGTTAATAAGAGCTGCTGCTGATTTGTTATTCATAAAAGCATCTTCCTCCTTTTTATGATCTGATATAATTCTGTTGTTTCTGTTCAGATGTATCCGGATCAGTGTGCCACAGGAACACACAGATCATCAGCTCAGGCTGTTCACGTTACACACTGTAGTTCTACACGTCAGTGTTTACTCTGATGCATCCAAACACTAAGTCTACCAATCCACTGAGCAATAAAACAGGTTCTGACCCTGGTTCTGGCTCTGATCCTGGTGTGTGCTGTGGGTTAAGATGTGTCTGTCAGGAATGAGAAGATGTCCGGTCTGGAACCACAGGTCCACAGAACCTCTTCAGAACATTGAGCTTGGTGTGTTGGAGTCAGAGTTAGTCTTTTACAGTCAGATTGGATTGACTCAGGATCAGAACCAGATATGTGGACTCACCTTCAGTTTGACCTCCAGCTCCATCAACCCGTCGCTCAGCTCCCGGATGGACTCCACCATCTCCGAGTGTTTGCTGACTGTCTTCTCAATGTAGCGCCGACCCTCCTCCACCCCTGCAACAAATGTCCACGTCGTTTAGAGCACAAACACCTCAAAGTCACAGAGGACTTTCTAAAAACGTTGTGCTGATGCTGCTTAAAATAGACTTTAACACAAACACAATGGATGGATGTCCAACAAATATGGAGGGAACAATGACTCCAGCTCCTGAGGATGCTCAGAATGACATGAGAGCTCATCACAGTATTGATGACAAACATGAAAAAATAAAGTTCTGACCCACAAATCTGTCTTTACACTTTTCTCTCAACTTGGTTTTGTTTTTAACATACAAGCTGCAATCAAAGAATTGAGAGTCTGCACCTTCAAAAGTCTTCACCATGTTAAATTAACCTCCATCAGTGTCCCTGTGCGGAGCGGCTCTGCTCCCAGAGCTCCTGCAACACTTCAACTATGGAAGTCTTGTCCTGGAAACATGTCGGCTCCATCTGGAACCACTCTAAGTCCAAACAGAGAACTTCAACTGGAATCTAATGATGGAGAAGCAGAAGAAGAAGAAGAAGAAGAAGAAGAAGAAGTAGTCTCAGGGAGACAGATCTGATGGAGAGCAGCGATTGTGTTGTTGTGGACAGAATCTGGCGTTAATCAGCTGAGACTGTCGGAGCAGCGACATGAATCCCAGTTCAGCTGCTTGGATGTTCTCAGGACGTTCCAGGAGAACTCTGAGCTCAGTCTGGAGGAAGATGACGGAAACAGCAGCAGCTCCCGACCTCCTCCCCTGGTTCTTCCTGTTAAACTGCTGTCTGTTCTCTGGGTGGTTACCATGGTAACCATGCACCCTCCTCTGGTCACCATGACGATCCTCCACGTGAAGCTGGATCATCACTGATGGTCCAGAAACATCTGGACTCGGCTGACTGTTGCTGGTGCACAGGTAGATCACAGGTGAGCACGATGTGCTACGTTGCTACGTTAGCAAACGTTACAAACATCTCTGAGCATTTGGATCTCACCTGTTGGATGGTTCCACTGACACGACACCTGAGGAGCTCAGAGGACCAGCAGTGAGACCTGGCTCCACCAGGTGTCGCTGTGGAGCTCTATGCTGGTTTAATATAATGAAGTGGGAAAAAAATCGGTCTTTATAGAGAAATAATCGATAAAGAATATTTTATCAAGAATAACAATAGAACAAAAAGACCAATGATGTTCCCAATGTCGTTCTAAACATTTATGGATAATCCACAGAACACCGACAGTCGCCTAATTCCTCTTGACGCACCTGAGAATGGAGCCCATCAGCGTCTGTTTAAGTGATCCATAGACATCCGCGGGGCTCAGCGGCCCCAAGCCCAGGCCGTCCAGTTACAATATTGGAATGACAAACGTCAAGACGTAATGACTGTGTTCAGTTTTGGTGGATGGTCGTACGCAGCAAGCTAGGTTGGTCTTCATTGTGAGCAAACAAGTAGATTCTCTGATAACAGCTAAATCCAGCACTTTGCCACAACAACACTGCTGAGGGACATCTTTTAGTGACCCTTTATTTTTAATGCTATGCATAAAAACAGGTTGTACTCTTGAATTACGTTGATGTGAAATTGCATTTAGTGAGTAGGCTTTGCCATCCTATGTGGCTGCTTTAACACAGATCAGTCTCAGGTCGTACTGTGCATCAGAGGAAGCAGCTGCAGAGTGTGGTGCCACATTCAGCTTCTCATGCCAGAGACGCCACCGCAGAGGAAACGTCTGTTTAAAACGTTGGCTGTGACCTGGACAGAAGTGGTGGATGACTACATGAGATGGAACCTTTCTACATGTACTTTTATGTGACCAACAGTGTGACACAATGACACCGGCTGTGTGTCTTTGAGGTGAACACGTGGACCATGAAGGTGATGCAGAGCTTCACCCACCGTGCAGCCTGACGGCGAGCTCGCTGATCTGACTGATCCTCTCTTCCTGTTGAGGAACTGTCGGCCAAATGAACTTCTCAAACTGCCGGTACAGAACTGACACAGCTTCTGTGCTGCGACACTCTGAGGAGAACTTCCCGACCCGAGCAATGGTGGCGCTGGCCTCCTCACACCAGAACTGATACTGCAGATGGACAGACACAAGAAGTGACTGAGTTCTGCTGCAGCTCCAGCCTTCAGGGACCATGGATCAGAGCAGCTTCTCACCTCCTCCATGGCCTCCTGCAGCCTGCACGTCATGTCCAGAGTTTTTTTGTGTTCGCTCACACTTCGGTCAAACTCTCCCATCTGCCTCTGCAGCTCGTTGGCGGCGTCCTCCACCTCACGGGCGACGCCTCCGTCCTTCACCTCCGAGCCAAGTCGAGCCGCCGAACCATGCAGACGCTTCCTGAGAGCCTGCAGAATCAACCAGAGTTCAGCTTGAACGATCAACCTCTGCAGGTTCTGAACTGTTTTAGAGTCTGTAGCTTTAAATGAGCAGCCGCTGGCCCCGCCCCTGCTACTGGCAACTGGTTTAGTTCAGACCCTGAACCACCCGGTCCTGGTTTCCTGGTTTAGATTAAACACTGAACCACTTGGTCCTGGTTTACTGGTTACACAGCAGAAATAAACGTCTTACCATACTTACCGAACTCAACAACAAGGCCATTACACGCATTGCACTCTCAATATTACAGGACTCTACCCACCCACTACCGGAATATCTTATCCCGTTGCCTTCAGGACGGAGATACAGGACACTGCGGTGCAGAAAGGCTCGTTTTGGTAAAAGCTTGATGCCTGCAGTCACAGCTGCCTTAAACAGAATTCCCCGCTGAGCATCCCTGTACTACATTGTCATGTCTTTCGTATGATTTCATGTTGTACTTTGTGTTGAAATGTTATTCTGTCTGTGTACCCTTATGTGGGATTCTCTGTAGTTTGTATTGTCATGTTATGAAGTCAAGGGCTGGTCTGTGGAAAAGAAATTCCCCCTGGGACAATAAAGTCTAAGTAAGTATATTAACAGCGTTTAATTTACACCTCCAAGTTTAAAAAGACCAAAACACAGTAAGAACTGGTTTTCACAATGATGGACCCTGAAAAGCAACGTTGGCTCTCAAACCATGAATATGTTGAAGTCCAGTGTTGTGTTGACCCGTCCATCCACCGCAGACGGTCAGAATGACCTGCTGTTACTTCCACAGATGTGGTTTCTGACTCCTCCCATGATTCCAGTGATCCGAACATGAGTAAAGAGGCGGAGCTAAGCTAGAACATGGCCTGTCCTGTAACATGCACTGAATCCTGCAGAACTTTCACCCTAAATATATTTGAAACGGCGAGTTCTCTAACGTTCATAGCTGACCATCAGCTGTAGACACTAGGTTCTATGGGGCCTGACTAACTCCTGGAGCCTCAGATGTATTCTGGACTTCAGTGAGGAGGAGGAGGAGCTTCAGACCTACCTGCAGCTTGTCATCGAACAGCTCCACCTGCTGCAGCTGGTTCCTCACAGCCTTCATGTTCCTGGTTCTGTCATTTCTCTTCAGGTAGTTAAACTTCACGTTGCTGAAACGTTTCTTCAGCTCCTTAAAAGAGTCACGAAGCTGAAACACAAACAGACGATCAGAAGAAGACAGTACCTAAGTATCACGCAGCATCTGTAGAGCTGCAGTGATTAGCCATTTAATCAATCAGTTGTCAACTGTCTCCAACTATTCTGACGACCAACTGATCAGTTTAAGTCAATATTTAATTAGAAATATCTAAACTCTGTGACTGCAGCTTCTTCAATGTCAGTATCTTCTGGTTTCTTTTCTTCTCTGTGACAGTCAGCTGAAGACCTTTAGACAAAACCAGGCATTTGTCATCTTGGACTTTAGGAAACACTTTATGACACTCTGGAGATAAAACAGCTGATTGGTTCATCCAGAAAATAATCAGCAATGATAACAATCTTTAATTCCTGATGACGAACCAGCCGAGCTAACAGCATCACAGTGAAAGCTGAGCTGTGGACGTCCGGCCACCCAGCTGTCTGCAGTTCGTTTCAGGGGAAGTCGTTTGCATGTTTTAGAGGCTAAAAATACTTTTCCAGTTCATATCTGAAGTGCATCATATGTTGCTGTGATGTTTTTTATACGTTCTGATCTGGTGGGTTCTGGTCGGCCTGCATGCAGACGGAGCTTTGATGGGTCTATTTTTAGATCCAGCAGGACGATCGTGTCTTGGTGTCAGATGGCAGATCTGTCAGCTGAGGACAGCTGAGCAAACACCGAGTCCAATCAGACTGAAACCTGAGGCCGGTTCTGACCGAGGGAGGCTCAGGCTGGACCTTCAGAATCATCTGGGGAACCTCAGGCTATGAACACCAGGAATATGAAAGTGACGTGGAAGGTTCTGTGGACATTTTAAAGGTCCGTACTGTCTTCAGCAGGCTATTCACAGTCTCATATGTCCCAGTGACCTGCCCAGTCATGGTTTCCTAGTTTAAAGGTTCCACCATCTCTGAATGTCCTTCCAGAGAGCACTGAGCTGTGACCATCCAGACTAATGTTAGCCACATTAGCCTCACAACACTGAGGATTTTCCTGTTGTTGTGGCTAATGCTCGGCATCCTGCTTGCGAATGTCCAGTCCCTGGACATCAAGCTGGAGGAGCTCAAAGCCAGGATCAGGTACCAGAGGGACACAAGAGACTGCAGCATCCTCTGCCTGATGGAGACATGGCTGACCCCACCGTACCGGACCACGCCGTTCAACCAGCGGAGTTCTTCACAGTTCATCGTATGGACAGAACGGCTGAGTCGGGGAAGTCTGGAGGCGGGGGCGTCTGTCTCATGACCATCAACAACTGGTGCAGACATGTTGTGTCTTTCTAAGTCCTGCTCGCCCAATCTGGAACTTTTAACCATTCAACCACCAACCAGCCTTTCTACCTCCCCCGGGAATTCACCTTCGTTATTTTCAGCACTGTCTACATCCACCCGCAGGTGGACACGGACGCTGCATTAGCCGAGCTACATGAGGCTTTCTCCAGCTACCAGGCTAACCACCGGGAGGCAGTCCTCATCATGGCCGGGATTTTAACAGTGCCAACTTGAGGAAGGCGATGCCAGAACTCCACCAGCACATCGCCTTCCCCACCAGAGGAGACAGACCTCTGGATCACTGTTATTCTCCCTTCAGAGACGGCTATGCAGCAAAGACTCAGCCACCATTCGGCAGGTCAGACCACGCCTCCATTCTCCTGCCCAGGTCCAAGCAGCGGCTGAGGCAGGCAGCCCCGGTGGAGGAGAAGTGTCGTGTTGGTCTGACCAATCAGAGGCCGCCCTGCAGGACACCTTGGAGACAGCAGATTGGGACATGTTCCAACGCAGCTCCGGTGATGACGTCAGTTTGTTTACGGAGGCGGTTGTGGGATTTATTGGGGAAACTAGTGGAGGACACGATCCCCAAAAGAACCATCAGGGAGTTTC